ATCTTCTTATGTTCCAAATTTTAGGGATAGTTAGGAGGATCATATCCCACTGATAGAGTTTAATTATAACAATAATTATAAGTCCAGTATAAGTATGTCTCCATATAAAGCTCTGTATGGAGTGAAGAACTTCTTTGACTTTGATAGAGGTGGGAGATAGATAGGTGATGGGATTAGCCTTTATGGATGAAACTACAATAAAAATCAATTTGATCAGAGAAAGGTAAAAATCTACACATGATAAATATAAGAAGTATTATGATTAGAAATACAGGTTAGTTGAGTTTTCAAATTGACAAGTTTGTGTATGCCAAAGTCATCCCTATGAAAGGTTTCAGCATATTTAGAAAAAATCAATAAGCTAATTCCAAGGTACATTTGACATTTTGAGATCATTGAGAAGATTGATAGTTCTGCTTAAAGCTTATTATTACTTGATCATATGTCTGTTATGCATAGTGTGTTCCATGTATCTTTTAAGAAATTGGGTATTTGATTCTAGGTAGAGATTATCTGCTGATAATATTGATGTTCATAAGAATATGCATTCTAGGGAAGAACTCAATAGGATTTTGGCATATTATGAGAGTAAATTGAGGAGTAAATAAATTCCAATGGTTAAGGTACAGTGGAAGCACATGATAGCCAGATAGGCTATGTGGGAGAAGGAATTTGAGATGCTATAATTATATGTAGATTAATTCTGACTTTTTCTAGTTTGGTAATGTTGAGGATGATATTTTTTAATGAGCAGATTGTGATAACCCTTAATTTTTTTAAGAGTGTTTTTCTAGAACAGTCAAAAATTATTTTAGGAGTGATTAAAAGTCCAAATTACAAATCCTCTTCGTCATAGCATATATAGTGTAGTGTTTTAATTACCCTATTTTTTCATAATTTTTAGGCTTGGGAGAAATTTTTAAGAAATTGACATTTAATTGCACAAGTGGGAATTTTGTGATTATTAGGCGTCCAATGCTAATTGATTTCATATGAGTGTTTTAGGATACTTAACTGACATGTGAATAGTTTTTTATAGTTTTTGAATTCCTAGATTTTAAGATATAAAAGAATTTAGATAAATTTTAAGTTTTAAAATTAAATAATTAGAATAATAATATTTTATTATAAAATTATTTTCCATTAATAAAAAATATTTTTAAAAGCCATCAAGCTTTTGATTTCTGTTAACAGAGAGGGATTTGGAAAATAAAGAAAAAAAAAAGAGAGGAGAGAGAAAGAGAGAGAAAAAGTCTAATTTTAGAGGTCTTAGAGCCATTTTTCCGATGACTCAGTTGGAAAACTTGTTCATCTCGAGGTAAGTCAAATTATGTCCATCTCAATTTTCAAAAATACATAATTTTTACCAAAAAATTTTTAAAAACTTTATTTCTATTAGCAAAAAATGGGGTTAACTTTGCACTCATAAAACTTTCACAACGTGACCTTTTATATATTATAAAGATTAAGATTATGAATATTTTGAATATTTTCTAAAAATTTTACAATATAGGTTTTTAAATTTTGATGTTTTTATTAAATAGAAAATTATTTTGATTATGAAAAATAATGATATAATACGATTAAAGTCTTAAAATATTATTTTACTCTATCCTTGATAATTTGATTATTTTCTAAAAATGTGAATTATTGTTTAGTATATATATTTTTTTAATTTAGTGTTATAAAAAACTATGTATTTTTGACACATGCTCAATTAAGTTTTAATTGCTATAATGTGATAATATATGTGTATATGTGATTAAATTATATCCACTTAAAAACATAAGTGGTCAAAATCTTTTGAAATTATGTATGTGTCAGGAAATATTATGATTCCTACGCACATGTTTGGTGCTATAAGCATAAAAGGGAGTGATAAGAGGCTAGTATTCTTTAAGATTCTATCTAGGTCCATAGAATAAGATATGAACTGCTCTATGATATAAACTGTAATTTATTTATGTTCTCAATAGTATTATTTAAAAAATTGAATAACTTCTATGCTCTTATTATATTTCTCAGGACAATGATCTAATAGATTGCATTTAACTACTTTTAAATATTTAGCAAAAATATTAATATTTTTTTTTTTTGAAAATTTAGATTAGATTATATGGCCTACTGAGCTGTTGTAACTCACTATTATTTTCTTTTGTTTTTAAGGATCTAGGAAAGGGGAAGAAATTGTTGATTAGAAATCAAAGTCAAATATTAGTTTATATGTATTTCTTCTTTTTTATGCAATCATGACTAGTTTATTATTCAGCTCTGTAACTTCTATATGTAGCCATATTCTATAGTATAATATATATATATATATATATATATATATGAAATGAAAAAAATATTATGGATGAGTTTATTTTTAGTATTTGAATGTTTTAGTGGCTTTGTAGTCTGTAGTTTATTTAAAATGAATATTGAAAGAGAATCTATAACATGTCCTAGTCGGGTTGGGTTGTGACACTCCTCCCCTCTTTCAGGTGAAGAATGATGGTCTATTATAATTTTTTAGGAGTATCATGCTCGGTAAATATGGAGAAGATCAAGTGTAAATTTGGAGAGTTCTGTGACTCATAGAAATTCCCTTTGATCATAGAGCATTTATTTAGCATTTAAGCACCTTAATGATGTCAGAATTGGATGATCTTGGGCTCATTTGATTCATATTGTCTAGGCACTTAATTCCATTATAAGCATGTCATATTTGAATATTATTTTATCGTCTAATTGATTCTTTGAAACTTCTAAGTACACGTTGATCCTTTGATTTGAGCTCATTAGGGCTCATATTGCTGTTATTATGTCATCTCCTTTAGATGTTTAATTTGACAATAAGTTTTTTGAAATCAGATTTTGGATTATCCTGAATATAATTTTGGAAGTTTTTTAATTTATATTTGCATCGAGATTTATGCTCGATCAAGATAATGTTTTGGTGACATATTAATTCCCCCCCCCCCAAGTTTCAGAGTTGAAGCTTGTAGAGTCCGAAATACACGTTTAAGCTTTTGAAAAATTGTCGATGTATAATTATAATTTCAAACAAATTACAATGTGTGATCAGTCCTTGGATGTCAACATGGATCTCTCCTCAGGGTCATGAACCAAGTAAAACATCCTGGATCATAACTTTAGGATGCTCTAAAGTTGGCGTGCCGATCAAAGCATAAAATATTAGAAAATTTAGCTCCTGACTTTCGAAATTACTCTACATTGGATAAAGGTATTTTTTGCTCCAAACACACCAAATTCGAATATAGACGTTAAAAAATGGTTTCGAGACTCCAAAAACATATGAATTGGATTTTCTGGGCCGAAATATGGCCTAAACAATGCTTGGCAGCCAAATCAACAGGCAAGCTGGTCAATCATAGATTATCCAACGATCCCCCTGTATTGGCTCACGTGTAATCCGAACGTGCGTAAAGGGAGTGTTAGCCATTGCATTAGTAAAAATATATTACTTTATTTAATTATACATTTTAAAAATATTTTTGTATCTATTTATTAATAATAAATTATTTAACATGAATATGAATATGAATATGGTGTGTGTGTGCGAGCGCGCGCGTTTGTATGTGTGTGTGAATTATATTTAAACTTATAATATAAATTAGGAATAATTTATATTAAATTTTTAAGCTTATATCCATGCTAAATATAGATTAAATATGAATTAAATTTAAATTTTTAAATGATCTAAATTAAAAAATACAGATGATCTTGTATGAGTATGAATTCTTCTTATTTTTTAATTATAAATTTCTATTATTATATAATCATTACATCATTATTATATCCTTTTTAACTTATTTAAATAACTTCAGTATTTATTACTTCAATCGTTTCAATCTCCCAATTCAATCCCACTTCAGCAATTGAATTTCAAGCCAGTTTTTCTAATTTTATGTTTGATTCTGTTTTTACAATCTTGCTATTTGTAGTAGAAGTTAGCATGTGAATGATCAATAAACTTTATTTGAATGCTTTGAAGAAAGCCATATTTTGCTTTGGGCTATCCTTTTCAAATGAAAGGGGAAATGTAAAGTACGGCACCTACGTTGGGTGTTTATTAAAAAATAGTTAAGACTCGGAGTATTTTCACTTGTTGAGATTTAGTTAAAGCTCCAATTTGATGAGAAAAAAAATTCTTTCGCTCAAGTACTAAGACTTGGATTATTTCTGTTTAGATTTTACATGCATTTTACGGGCGGTTGTCGTTGGCTATTAGGACAGATAGATGGACTCTTTTTTATTAATCATAGCATAACTCCTTGCAAAAATTTTACTAAGCCGTTTTATAATAATACTCGAATTAGAATCATGCTATATCGTAACCATGGGCTACACAATACAGCTATGGCAATCAACTACAGCAGCAATTTGCAGCAACAAATATAAAAAAAATTTATAATACATCTAAAAATTATTTTCAAATGCATCAAATTTAAATAAAAAATGAATTTTAAATTTTAAAAAAAAAAAAAAAAAACTATATTACATATAAAATTCATCTAACCAAAATATTTCAATTATTGAAATGCATTACACAATAAATGCAGTCAACCAAACGATAAAATAAAGAAAAATACCTTTACACATGTAAATCTATAGTTTTATAGTCAAAATTGTATTAATTAAAACTAGACTGAATACAATTGATAAAACGAGATCAATTACAAATCTAAATTCATGTAACGAGGTAATAAATATTTAATTTATAAGTAAATAAACATATAATCAACATATTTATAGAATGCAATTTTAGATCATGCATGATCTTCTCATAAAATACAACAAAAATTGAAGTGTTAAAAAATATGTGAAATTTTACAAAGGTAGCAAAGCATTCTCTAATGTAAAATCAAAACTATAATCTAGGCTTTTATCTTTTATATATACAAGAAAAATATAATCCAAATCTCATCACGTTGAACTTGAAATATGCTTCATATACTTGATAAAAACCAAACTATAAGACAATACCTACAATATTAGAATAATCATGACTCCACCCCTTTCTGCCAACTACACCATAAAAATAAACGCAATAGATAGAAGAGTACATATGTTCTAATATATCTCAAAAGAAATAATTTTAAGCAGACAAAAAAGATACTAGGAAGGCTACATAGTACATGATAACTACATTCTACAGTTCATAGAGGGGTAAAACGATCTAACGTTTTGCAACGGCAACCAAAACTAACATTGACATAGAGACAAAAACCTTGAACATGGGACTCTCCCAGAAGTTTTGTTTCTCATTTGAATTCTTTACCTTCTGTTGCCTTAATGCAATTTGTTCTCTAAGCTCCCTGAGTGCCATGTCGCGCTTCTCTCCCATCTGCATATTATTCAAAGAGAATCTTGTCAAAAACTCAAAATTTTGTATCTTGGTTCGAGAAGATTGTGTGTAAAACTTGATACAGCTGCTTTAAAATAACTGCATTTAAAATTTTAACTCCTAAGCTAATTTGATTTGGTAAAGAGAGTGAAATTCACTTTCAGAACTGCAGTTATTCAGTAAAAAATTCATGAAAATGAGTTTCTATTTTTGAAACACCCCTTCATTTAAAAAATGAAAAATGAACTCCAATAATAAGGGATTGAAAATGATCTTCAGTTTTACATGTTTACATAATACTAAAGATATAATAACATGAAGTTCACGAACTGATGGATCAAGAATTTGATAGGAAGTGCTTGTATTCACAAGCAACCTATCCAAAATCGGCGAACCAACAGCAGCCAAATGGCTGTCCACAGCAGGAAAACAGCAGATTTCTGCTGTTTACAGTAGGAAAACAGCACTTGTTCGGGAAAATACGAGAGAAAACTCAAGAAAAAGACTTGTATTCCACTTAAACGATGAATAAAAGAGCAAGATACAATTGATCCTCAATTCGAGAGGAGGATCGATCTCTCCCAAATCTCTAGACGCCGCTAGAGCCCTAAGAAAACCTAAATCTACCAGATCTCAAATTTCAGCCAAATTCAAGATGATCAAACCCTAGGAAAATCTACTATTTAATGCATACAAATCAAAAGGAAATCCCTAAACAGTCCCTACATTCAAATTCCCCTCTTAATTTCCCCAAAAAAGCTTCCTATTCGGCTCCCGCAAGGCGTGCGGTGCGCGCGGCCTCCGCCCAGGCGAACAAATCGCCTGTTTCGCGATATTCGGGCGTGAACCGGTCCCGCCTGGACCGGCTGGACCGGTCCAGTGGACCGGTCTAACA